AGACACCCAAGCCTAAACCTGAACCCTCAGAATTTTGTCCCCGCACCTCCTCAGTATCCAGACTTCACAGGATACCATCACGTCTCTGGAATTACCAGCGACCCTCACCACAGCCAGCCAGGGGCCTGGAATCCCGCGTACCCTCCTCCGCGAGAGGAATGGACACCTTACGGGCCGGGAACTGGAGCTTCGACCTCTGGTCCGCTGGGCTTCAGTCCTGCAGAGTTTTCATCCGTTCAAGCGCCTGGCCTTCTTCCATCCTCCATAAACACATCAGTCGGTCAGCTGTCGCCCAACTCTCAGAGACGGAACCCCTACGACTGGATGCGTCGGAGCGCGCCGCCGTCCAACTCAGGTGCGTTTTTGAAATCTATAAATCAAATGATTGTGTTTTGAAAAATACTTTATAATAATCATTATAGAGACTATGAACTATCGTGATCGCAAAGGAAAAGGAAAATGATAAAAAAAATAAAAATATATATAAAGGAACAGGGGGAGCGCGGGGCACAAAGTAACGCGGGGTTAGATGGTTTAAATATTTCGACACATGCTAGCATAACCAAATTTACAGCATTTACTAGTTACTATATCAACATTATATAGAGAAAAAAAGTGTGCCAAAATTCAAATTCGCTGAACATTTATTTTACCATAGTAAAATTATATTTCTGGCTTAAGTACATTTTTCATCTCAGTTGTTATTACTCATTTCATGCTATTATTTTAATCTCCAATCTGTTATTTATCAGTTTCAATTATTTTTGTAATGCTTCGCTAACTATCAGAAGACAGTACCCGGTTTTAAATTCCAGTTGCGCAGATGGGGCACGATGTACCACTGCGTTACACTATGACATTAGCGATGTGATTCACATTATTTACTTGAATACATTTTAATGATAAACGACGAGAAACAAACATTATTTCAAGACATGTCAGTTCATTGTCAAACTCCAAAATCAGATTATTTTTGATTCTTAAAAAACGCCATTATTTTATTTGAAATAAATAATTATTTTATTGACCAAATATTTTAGTTTGTCTTGTATATTTTTTTTCATGCGATCAGATAACCTTTTAAGCTGTCCATATGGTCGTGTTACAACGTGCCCCTCAGATGTTACAATGTACCCCACCTACGGGGCATGTTGTCACATTTCACTTCCAATTTTTGAGGGTAAATAAAGAAAAACGTATACGCTGTAATTATGAAACAAAGCAATATATTTGTACTAGACAAGTGTGAAATTACTGTGGATTATAAAATTATACTCTGAACCCCATGTGGATTTACACAATTTAAGAAAGTCAAAAAGTGTTACTTTGTGCCCCGCTCTCCCCTAAA